CCCCAAAACCCCAAAACCCCAAAACCCCTGGGTTGTTCAACATTTTTGATATAACTTTTTCTTAAAGTAAAATGGATCCCTTTGGTGCTCTTAACTACTCAAATCTTCAACCAGTAAGTTTCTTGCAAGGCTAGAATCCAAAGACCAAGGCCGGAAGGGAAGCCATGTGTGGGGTCTTTGGAATTTGTTCTTTGAGATCTTGGGGATTTAGATTTTGTTTCGTTTCAAAATTTTAATTGCTTCATTGTTGTTCTATAGACATACCTTCAAAGCCATGAAATTGAAAACAATAGTCCAGGTCATTGAGACAGCTGAGTACTAGCTCTCAGACAACTGCTTGCTTGCAACAAATGCTTCTCAAATTTGGGCTTGAACCTTGTAAAAATGCTAATGAGTCAGCTGAACACAGTCATTGATCCTTGTAATGCTCCGATTCGGAGGAAATAAATCGATTTATTCAAAGAATGCAAATGATGAGGAAAATTCATTCAATCAACTGAAGGTATCGCCAAATGGATTTAAAAGTCGTAATTTAAGTACAATGCATACAGGTGTCGATCAAAGTCGGACTTTGGTAGGAAAGAATAGTAAACTTTTGAAGAATGCAACTATTGATATCAGAGTGAATGGGAACAACAACCTGAATTCTTCAATCCAGCTGTCAGAAAACCATGGTGAAACCACTACAAATTCACAGCTAATGGGTGGATTCGAAGAGACACTGAACTACAACTTGAACCCCAGCTGCTTGCTACCAAAGAAGGGCAAGAAACGGAGACTTCTTGGACATCCATCTAAAAGCTTTAAGTTTAAGAAAAAGTACGGTCTGTTTATTACCATATTCATTTCGGTTATTATTAAACTTTCTGGTTAGAACTTCAAAGACTTTTCCGTCACTTCAACTTTACTTGTAGGTCTACTCTTACCAAGAAGCAGATCATAAAATAAGTCGATTTCACTGATGAAAATGGGCTTTTTAAAGAAATTCAGGGAGAAAATCAGTGAGGAAGAGAAGACCCTCGACCTCCAGAAAATGATTAATTCAACTAAAGAAAAATCTCTACCAAGTTTGAACCCTAAAGTTACTGAAAAATCAAAGCTAGAACCGATTTCTTTAGTAAAGAAGGTAATTTTATAATTTAAAACTTATTGTAGGCAAGCGGATCTGATCGGAATAGCGGCAAAGGCCATGACATCTCTACATCCTTAAGACAGTCCAATGACCTTAGCCTTAATAGCAGTTTGAAGTAAGTCATGATTTGTAGAATGAGAATAGTTCTCCTCTTAACAAAATCTCCATTCGCTTATAAATATAATAAAACTTACTAAACTTTCACTTTGTGGTGGAGGCCTTCCCAGAACGAGCATTAAGTAATCTAATTTGTTCTACAGAAAGAAGCACAAGAAGGCAAATTTGAAGGTCCTTGCTAGGAAAACTAAGAGTAAGTATATATACACACATGGGCTTCCTATTCTGGCACCCTGAGGGCGTCTAAATTTCATCAGAATTTCAAGAGCGATCTCCTTTATGTCTCTAACCGGCTCCTATAGATGATGTAAACAGGTCGCATACTGGCAGCACAGGAAAGTCTACGAAGGTATTTAAGGTTGGTGAGTAGGCAAGCACTGGCTTATTTGGGATTAATATAAATGAGGGTTATGTTATAATACTAATTTTTCATACTCATTCATTTGGAAAGTTTGAAGTTTATGCTTATTATTGTAGAAATCATCTTAAAACGGAAACTTATATCTGGTTATGATTCTTCCGAACGCGAGTAATATGTCATAGGTTTGTAAATCACTGCTGTTTAAAATTTTGAGTTTCTTCGAATTTACTGAAGAAACTTAGATGGAGTGTAAAATCCAATGTTTAAAGTTATCAATTTCTTCTCTCAAGATTGTTCCAGGAATTTTTGTAGATACTCTCGGTTTGGGCTTGTCATTGGGTCTAAATCTCAATGGAATATGCTATAAATATTTCAAAATGATGCAGTTAAACATATCATTTTTCAATTTTACTAAATTTTTAAGGGGTTTTGGGGTTTTGGGGTTTTGGGGTTTTGGGG